GGACTGTTGCCCCCCAGAAAAAAAAGGGGCCTTGTGTTGTTTAAAAAAAAAAAGAGAAAAAAAGAAAAGGAATTATTGTGATGAGAGACAGCTGTAAGGACAATGATGGGGAGAAAGCGGTCATGTGGCACCGAGAAAATTGAATGATAATTTGGTGAATCAAATTGAATGGCATTAAAATTTTAAAATATAATAAATAAAATTGAGAAGCTTGAAAACTGATGAGCAAGTCCACTGATGATCCTCAGGGAAAAAAAAAAATAAAAAAAATTATAAAATTGAAAAGTTAAAAGTTTGAATTTTGAAAACTGATGGGAAAGTCCACCGATGATCCTCAGAATAGAAAGGAGCCAGGAACATTAATTAGGAAAAAAAAAAAAAAACTCCAAAAAAGAAACAGAGAAAAAGAAAATGAAAACTGCTCTCCAGAATCTCCACTCCTTTTTCAGTTGCAGGAAAAGAGAAAAAGCACCGTTTCTGCTTCATAATAAGTTTATGTTAGTTATTAATTTATTTTAAATGATTATTATTATTTTATTATATTATTATATTATTCTCTTCTAAGGGAATGATGGTAAATGACACTAAGCGTACATATTACATACGCTTCCTGTTGGTATGCTCTTCAAACACCAAATGAAATTTGATTGTTCCTCGGATTGGGAAACACATACATGATACATACAAGCGCACACAGTACCAAAACTTCTGCACGTTCGGCGCACGAGCGGGGACCCGCACGGTGCGGCGCATCGGGGAAATATGCACTCAAAAAAGGAAAAAGGGTCACATGCCTGGGTAATGGTCCCCTTTGAAGATTTGTTGTGGGATGGGAAAAAATAAAATTAAAAAAATGAACAAGTGGGAGAGAGGAATAAAGGAGGTGGACTGGTAAGGAAAGGGATGGTGTAATGTCGGCATAGATAATGTGGAAGGATGGTTTGAGCAACAAGGCATTCGAAAGTTTGAAGGAGGGGATGATACATGCGGCCTGAGGGACTTCTACGAGCGCGCGCGCCTTTCCGTACCCTCCCTCCCTTGGGATCCGTCTGCTGTGCGACTGGGTGCTGCCAGTAAGCTTCCCGGTCAGCAGAAGCACCCCTTGAGGGTATTATAGGGCCTGGAGGGGGAGTTGACTCATAGCAGCGCCCCCCCCCCCCCCCTTTGTTTTTAGGCGTCTAGTGCCACAAGGGAAAGGCTGTTCCTTGCTTTCTCTTTACCACTTCCGCCTCCTTAGCAACCGGACTGATGCCACCCAGAATAGAAGGGGCTATCTGTTGTGTTAAAAAAAAAAAGAAAAGAAAAACACTCAAGTTGGGCCGTCGCCCGGCCTGGAAAGCCCGGCCAGGCACGCCCGGGCCAGTTGGGCAGAGCGGGGGGGTCGCCTGGCAGAACCAGGGGTCAAAAAAGAGGCAAGGATCCCCCAAAACAAAAAAAAAGGCTTCAGGCCAGGACTGCGATTGGCCTAAGCAGTGAGAATGCGGTCTTAACTTCGGAGTTGGTGATGGGTCATCCAGGGGGAGTTGGGGGGTATAAACAGTGACTAAAGGGCTTAAAAGGGTACATTTGGACTCAGGTTTTCTCATTTATTTTTATCTTGAAATTAACAAGGATTTTCGAGGTGGGCCTCAGCCAAAAGTCGTTTGTATTGGAATTTTACACAACATGTTTTGTTTTCGGATTTTTTTGTTTTTTTTTATTTTCTATTTTTTAAAATATTATGCGCTGGGATCGCCCGGGACCCTGCCCGGGCCCTGCCCGGTCCGGGCCGCCCGGGTGGGTACCCGGAAGACCTTCCTCCAGCTGGGCCGCCTGGGGACTAACATAGAAAAAACTTAAAAAAAGAGAGTAATGCCGCTACCTACCTAAAGGTCAAGACTCGAGACTGATGTTCCAGATACCTATTTGAGGCAATTTCTTACGCCCAACTGAACGGCAAGGGAAAAAAAAAAAAGAAAAGAAAAAAAAAAAAAACAAAGAAAAAAGAAAAACCTGTACGACTGTACTGGAAAAAGATATGTTCCTTAGGTGCTGCACTCTTCTGTATCTAGAAAAAGAGTAAAAAACAAAAACAAAAAGGTAAACTGCCACTCATATGGCGCACCGTGCGGTTGCAAGTATGTCGTGAAGTCATGGATGGGAAAAGAAAAAGCAACTTAAAGAACCTCAGAACACTTACAAAAGAAATAAAATCAGAACACTTACAAAAGAAATAAAATCAGAACACTTACAAAAAAAAAAAAAAAAAAAGGGAAGGAAAAAGTGTACCGACTGTCCTAGGTCAATTGGTACACCCACAAAGTGTTGTAACTTGTAATGCAGACCTCAGTTCAAATCCCAATGGAATCATATGAGTGAAAATAACTCTGAATTTACCTGGGGCTAGCCAGTCCAAAGATGACATCACAAGGCTCTCGCCCTTAATTTAAAAAAAAAAAAAAAAAAAAAAAAAAAAAAAAAAAAAAAAAA